GACCTGGGGGTCCTGGTGGATAGGAGGATGACCATGAGCCAGCAATGTGCCCTTGTGGCCAAGAAGGCCAATGGCATCCTAGGGTGCATTAGAAAGGGTGTGGTTAGTAGGTCAAGAGAGGTTCTCCTCCCCCTCTACTCTGCCTTGGTGAGGCCGCATCTGGAATATTGTGTCCCGTTCTGGGCCCCACAGTTCAAGAAGGACAGGGAATTGCTTGAAAGAGTCCAGCACAGAGCTACAAAGATGATTAAGGGAATGGAACATCTCTCTTATGAGGAGAGGCTGAGGGAGCCGGGACTCTTTAGCTTGGAGAAGAGGAGACTGAGGGGTGACCTCATCAATGTTTACAAATATGTAAAGGGTGAGTGTCAGGATAATGGAGCTAGGTTTTTTTCAGTGATGTCCAGTGATAGGACAAGGGGCAATGGGTGTAAGCTGGAGCATAGGCGGTTCCATGTGAACATCAGGAAAAATTTCTTTACTGTGAGAGTGACAGATCACTGGAACAGGTTGCCCAGGGGGTTTGTGGAGTCTCCTACGTTGGAGATATTCAAGGCCCGCCTGGACAAGTTCCTGTGTGATGTACCCTAGGTTACCCTCCTCTTGCAGGAGGGTTGGACTAGATGATCTTTTGAGGTCCCTTCCAACCCTTAGGATTCTGTGATTCTGTTAAAGAAAAATGATTTCCCAGATGGATTGGGACTCAACTTGTAGGAGCTGGTCCACATTTTTCATCGCTTAAAACTCCAGCCCAAATGGTCATGTGCTTGCCATTGTATCATGGATTAACAGCATCATCCAAGTAAGTCTGGCAAGAACTTTGTTTTGCTGAAAGTAGAAAGTTGCCTTACTTGATGCTCTGAGATCATTTGTATCTGTTGTACTTTCAAATAACTGTGTATGCTTGCTTTTTTTGCTGCTTAATTTTGGAAATGTTCTGGTATGTTTAACCCTGCTCATCTAGATAGTATTTCAAATTAAGAATATATAATCACATAGAAGGGCATGTGAAGCTTGTATCTGTGTTTGTCAATTTATTTTGCTGAGATTGCATTATCATTCAAGCATGAAGTAATGTTTCACTGAATCTTACTGTATAAACCTATATTGGTCTATGTTACGTAGGAAATACAGCATTTCATTACAAGCAGACAGTTATTTTTATAGAGAGCTTAAAAAGTATTTTCCCTTTTAGGCACCTGTGGTGAGGGGGTGTATGTATTCTTAATTTTTCTTTTTCCTTTTTTTTTTTAAGTGTAAAAAATCAACCTGAGAATAGAAATCTCTTATTCTAAATGGGTTGTGTTCCCAGTTCATTTGTATGGTACTTTCTGCAGAAATGGAGGAAAATACAAGCAGATGACATACGCAGTGATCACATGATATGAAGAGGGGCACTGCCAGAGGGGGCAGGAGTTGGAGTGATGCAGTATGTTCTCATGCCCTCAACAAGGCCTCATGCAGTTTCTGCCCAGCATTCCGGCCCTTGGTTGCAAGCCAAGGGCTGTGCTTGGCACTCCAGAAGGCTGACCTGAAATGCCAGGTCATGTGTGCTCTGGAGCCTTGGTGGGCTCCTCAGCTTATGTGCCTATTCGCAGGTCGTCAGGTCACCTTTGCCATCTCACCATGGAATTGCTGGGAAAGCCCCCTTTCTGTAGTTACTGAGGCTCAGTTATCACAAACAGCCTTTCTGTAGGGAATTCTGAACCTGCTAGTATGATTTTGAGTTGTCTACCAGTACTGGGTGTTCCTAGGTACTGGTAGTCAGTAGAGCTACTCCAATTAAATAGCACCATACTTAGGAGTGTGTTAGTTTTTAAAAGTTATATAACTTTGTCGTGGTTTAAACCCAGTCAGGTAACTTGTTCACTCACTCCCAGTGAGTGGTGCCGAGCTGACAACAATCAAGGTCCGTGTCCGTCTCCCCCCCCGCCCTGCACCGGGGCTCTCCCCTTCCCCGCTCCCGGAGGAACGGGGAGGAGGATCGAGAGAGTGCAACTCCTACGGGTTGAGACAAGAACAGTCCAGCAACAAATCACCACCGCTACTATCAGCTAAAACAATGATAAGGGAAAATAACAAGGGAAGAGAATACGATACCACCGGCCAAGAAAGCGAGTTCCACCCGGAAGCCCCTGTCCTTCCGGGTAACTCCCAGTTACCCCCCACCCCGGGCATGACGTGCTGTGGTATGGAATACCTCCCCGGCTAGCCCAGGTCAGGCGCCCCGTCTCTGCTTCCTCACAGCCTCCCCTCCTCCCTGGCAGAGCATGAGCCTCACAGAGTCCTTGGTCAGGGTAAACATCACTTAGCAACAACCGAAAACATCGGCTTCACCAACACTATTCTCAAACTAGAAGTCAAAACACAGCACTGCACCAGTTAACACAAAGGAAAAAACATGACTGCTACTGCTGAACCCAGGACAAACTTCCTTTGTAAAAATAATACTGGCATATTGCTGCAAAGCAGTATGTAAATACTGTTAATTTTGTAGTAGTTTGAGCCCAAGATTCTGGAATGTCGGAACTTTGGATCTTACTGATTTTAATCAATAGAGAATGAATAGAAGGTGTTGCATGTGGTTTTGATATATTCATGAGTATGAAGAACATATGGTATAGTACAGGATTTCAAAGGATGTTTCTCACTACAGTAGTCAGTCCATTGATTATTCATTCATGGTTCTGACCAAGGAGATCTACATTTTTTTTTAAGATTTGGTGGATAGATGGCAGGATGTGGCTTTGTATCTGGGTCCTCCTACAATGAGAAAATGTTGGACTTTGCAAGGCTTGACTGGAGTTTTATCATACATGTTCCATTGACAGCACTGCCTGTCATTTCATATGAAAGAAGCTTTGAAGGCTTTGATAAGTCATAGAATCATAGAATCATGGAATGGTTTGGGTTGGAAGGGACCTTAAAGCTCATCCTCATGGTATAAAGTTCCAACCCCCTGCCACAGCCAGGGACTCCTTCCACTAGACCAAGTTGCTCCAAGCCCCATCCAACCTGTCTTAGACACTGCCAGGGATGGGGCAGCCACAGCTTCTCTGGGCAACCTGTGCCAGGGCCTCACCACCATCACAGGGAAGAATTTTGTTTTCTCATTTTTCATTTCTGGCAATAGTGACACCTTTAAGAAAATAAATATAAAATTTGGTAAGATACAAAGGTTCTTAATCTTCAAAACAAGAATAATTATCTTCAAAGGTCAGCTGTTGGATGTTTTATCTCTTGAGTCTTACTCCTACCTTGGAACTTAGTACCAGTGGATTGTCTGCCTGTATAGATAGCAAACTGGATATCGGAGAATTTGCTGGTGTATCATCTCCCTCATCAGTTTTTTTTTTTTTTTTTTAAAGAAACTACATAGTATTTATGGCCAGTAATAGCACCTGCCAGGTGAAGAGAATGATACAGATAATGAAATCTTCTGGATAAAGACAAAATCTGGTTTTCTGTGCTGAAGGGTTTATTCCTCCATTCCCCTTCCTGGTGGCAGTGGAAATTATTTCTGTTCTTTGAAGCTTTATCCTCTGCTATGCTCAAAGTGGCATTGGACACCCAAATAGTTCAATGCCGTAATGTGGGCATTATGTTTGTTTATCAGGTGAATTTGAGCCTCTAGCAAAGGTTTTTAAATGAATCCTAGTGATTTTTGATATCAAATTTGCAGTTATTTTCAGAGGTGAGCTTTTCACAGTGCAAGTGTATTATGGATTCTGAGTGTAGGCTCATTTGGATGGCTTTAAGCTGCACAGGAAAAAATGAGACACCAATTACAAAACATTCTTGAATACTTTTGCCTTAGAGTTTGGTTTTAGTCCATGGGATTCCTCCAGCAGTCACATTTTTGAGTTTCAGGATGTTTTTTAAGCCAGTCTCTCCTCTCTCTGTCTTCAAAGCCTCATTTAATGACACAATGTCCTTTTTTGTTTGTTTGTTTTTTGTTGTTGTTTTCCTGCAGTGAAATTCTGAATGGTAAATCTCATGACTCCTTTAGATGTTACAGCATTCATGCTGGGCCGGATTCTTTGGATTCAGTAGAGTTACATGGTTTTCTACCAGCTGAGAATTTGTGCCAGTATTTCTGGCTTCAAAGTAAACCTTTTGGAAGGAAGCACACTGGGCTTCTAATTGGTTGTAACATCCAGGATCCGCAAGTGGCACAGGTCTTGCAAATATGTGACAAATGCCCAGCATGAGAGATATGGCAAGGGGTGGGAAGGTGAAATGTTGTGATTTCTCCCTTTTGTCGTTAATCATCTTTTATAGCAATGGGGTATTGTGAATAAAAGGATGCCATAAAAATGAATGTGGTGGGAGGTTGCCATTTGAATCTTAGAAGATCAAATACAAGAAGGCTTGCTGCTGCTTGGACATCAGCAGGATTAGGGAGACTGAATTATTTCTGGATCTGCCTGGTCAGACTGTAGTTTAATAAATATTGTAGGAACTGTCATGCTTTGTTTAAACTGAGAAATCCCTGAAATTGTGATTGAAAGTGGATTGCAACTGTGTTGTATTTATTTCTTGGGTATAAGCACAGCCATATGGCTTTAGTAGCAATAATACATCTCTGCCTTGCACAGTCAAGGACAGGTTTCCTCTGATGCACGATGGAGAGGTGGTAACAGTCAGTGGTGAAAACTGAAACTGGGGCTTGGTGAATGGTGCTGGGAGAGGCAGTGCCTGAGATTTCTCTGAATTCAGTAGCCCATTTATCTGACTGCAGCACACCTTATTTACAGCAACTTAATCTGCTCGCAGCAGGCACAAAGGGCTCAACATCCTGTTAAAAATCCTGTCAGAAAATCAGGTGGTGACCAGTTGTGACAAGTGGTCAGGCTGAGAGAGATGGCATTTTGTTTTTTTCCATGGATCAAATGTAGTGGTGCAGTATGGTAGATGAAAAATACTGATGGGGAAATGAAAAATATAATCTGAATCCTTCTGGCTTAGCATTTTTATTGGACTGTTTCCTTCTTCCTTAGATGTAGAAAGAGAAATCCATACACCACCCCATGTGAGTGAGAAGTTAATTCAGCTCTTCTGGAATAAAAGCGAGTTCACGTTTTTGGCCACTCTGCAACAGAAGGCATCAACTTCTGGAGTTCTACTGTCCATCCGAGAGTTAGAGCACAGGTAAAAATTGCTTCTCTTCTGTAGCAGTAGCAACATAAAAGACACTGAGTGCCCACTGGTCCATTTTGACGTGTTGAAATGGTAGATGTAAAATCTGGCTTAAAAGTTAAAACCTTTCTTCATAGTCTGTCATTTGCTGTTTTTTTCCTAGTTATTTTTGGGTTGGTTTTTTTTTTTTTTTTGTAGTGTTGTTTGTTTGGCTGTTTTGGTTTTTTTTTTTTTTTTCCCTTTCGTCATAGGAGGAATGCATTATTTCTGTAGCCTGGTCTTTTAGATGGGAAGATCAAAGCCAATGTAGTATGGACGCAATATACTTTGGAAGTTGTAAGCCTTGTAATGCCATTTCCCTTAGTGGTTTATCATCTGTGCTTTGAGTTTGCTTTTTCATACAAGTTAAACTGATATGTTTGCTGTTTCGCTGTGTTTTATAATATTTAGAATGAAATCTCAGAATCAACCAGGTTGGAAAAGACCTTTAAGGTCATCAGATCCAGCCTTTCCCTCAGAACTGCCAAAGCCACCAGTAGACCATGTCACTAAGGGCCTCGTCTACACGGTGTTTGAGCACTTCCAGGGATGATGACTCCACCATTTTCCTGGGCAGCCTGTTCCAATGCCCTGTCACTCTCTTGGGAAAGAAATTATTCGTAATGTTCAGTCTAAACCTCCCCCCACACAGCTTGAGGCCATTTACTCTTGTCCTGTCACTTGTTCCTTGGGAGAAGAGACTGAAACCACCTCACTACAGCCTCCTTTCAGATAGTTGTAGAGAGTGACAAGGTCTCCATGAGCCTTCTCTTCTCCAGGACCCTCAGCTGTTCCTCATCACACTTGTGTTCCAGGCCCTTCACCAGCTTCGTTGCTCTTCTCTGGACCCACTCCAGCACATCAATATCTCTCTTGTAGTGAAAAAAAATATTTATAAATAATATGTTTTCTTTTTTTGAGATGCAGCAATTAAGCTGCTTATGCTTCTGTATGTCTCTGCTTGTAGCTTTGTGAATGCTTTATTCATAATTTTTTAGGGCTCAAAGAACTTTGTACCTCATCTGACTTCCTGTTGTAGTACAAGTAACAGGATGTTCTTTGGTTGCTCGCATTTCAAACATAATGCCAGTCATTCTGCTGCATTTCTTTTAGGAAAAAAAAAAAAAAGAAGAGAAAAAGAATCCTATTGGTAGTTAATTTTGTTTATCATGTACATGATACACAACTTTTAGTCTCCTTTCTTTCCTCTTGTTGAAAAAGCCTGTGAAGGAGAAAACAGGCTTTATGATGACCAAATTGTCAATGATGGCTTTTGCCAGTGCAACAGCAGAGGTGTCTGTAGCTAAGGGGAGGACTCCACTACTTTCTTATTCTATCATCATACTTTTCTGTCACCTCTACTTTCTTAATGGTCTCTTTCTTTTACTTTATTCCTTCTCAGTTTCAAGGCCATTGTCTCAATACAGAAGAATATTGTTTTATGTTTCACAAGGATCCCTCCCTCCAACCCTTGCTTTTTTTCTTTTCTCACCCTATCATTGCTTTTGTCATTACTTTTTAATTCCTCCAAGCTTTTCCAGGCCATTGTATCCCTCTGAAGTCATGGTTAAGAGGATCAGTTTGCCATGTTAAGGGTTTCTTATTTTTGTTTTCACTGAAGAGAAAAAGGACCTTGAGGAGAGCCGTTGACAGAGCAGCACTGTCAGATGCAGGGACACATGCATGCACTCAGCAAAATCCAAGGTCAAAGTAGACAGACACTGATGATTATACAGTGTAAGGCACGTAGATTTTAATATTGCTTTTTCTGAATTTAGCTACTTAACCCCTCTATCTTGATGGGCAGAGACAGAGGCTTGTGGGGAGATGTGCTATGCAGGAGTATTAGCATGTCAAATTAATAGACATCTGTTTAAAAGTACACACAGTTGAAGGATTGGGTGCTAGTCTCACTTAAGCCTTTATAGTTCTGTGTAGCAACTGAGGTAGTTTCAGTCTGTGTAGCTCTATGTAAGAGTTGAAACAGGCACCTGCAGTGTTTCTAATGACTGCTGTTAGATTATGAATGTCAGATGGATTACTGCCATTATCTTGCTTTTCTGAACTCATTGTTTATGACTTAAAACAGTCACTGTTTCTTAAGTTGCTACTTGGACCTTGATAACGATAGTGCTTTCAGACCATTAGGTCTGTAATGACAGAAATTAATTAAATGAATGGCAGTGGAGAAAATAGTTTTTAGCATTTTGAGGAGTGGAGAGCAAAGATTTGGCCCCTGCTTACATTATGATCAATGCAATAGCAGGACTTTCAGCTTGGTATTTTTTTAACATTACTGTAACTGCTTAGGTCACTGGAGTCTTTAGCTTTGCACCTGAGTTGAGATGCGTGCAGGCCTTTGGCATGGGGAAGTCTGTTTTAAGTTATGGCTGGATATGAAAGCAGACAATGCAAAGATAATGGTAATAAACATCATTATGTTTCAGCATGATTTAGACATATGGGAATAAATATAAAGGTACATTTATTACCTTTTTATACCTAACCAGTATAGTATTTGACTGTGAAAAAGCCAAGAACTCTTTCCTCATGCACAAAATAGGATCTTTTGTAGTTAAGGACATAATGTTTTTTAACTTATCAGCATCCCAAAAGTGGATAAACTTTGAGGCTTCAGAACATTCAGAGGGTCAGCAACACCTGAATAAAAGCCATGTTACCTGTTGGTACAGTAGTTCATATCTTTATGAGACATGGGTTTTTTGTTGTGCAGTTTTGATAGTTGACAAATAGGTTTCATTCCAAGCAAACAAAAAGGTGTGTGTACTCATACACACACACACATACATATTTCAAGTGACCTATGTGAGCGTAACTAGTTCAAAAGGCAGTTTTGCATGATGTGAGTAGTAGAGATGATCACCATGCATGAAATGCTTGGCTTATATTTCATTTCTCTAGAAGTTTTAGCAGGATTTTATTTTCCATTAATAGCATGGAGCTCTCAAACTAAAGGTGTTAAAATACAGATGAATACCACTTTTCTTGAAATCAGTAATTCAGATATGCTGTTTTGTTGTATAAATGGATAGTTTGCAACAATTAGAGATTTGTTGTTAATTTATATCATCATATGATGTACAGGATTTATACTACAATGATGATAAATGCATCTTTGTTAATATTTTGTCTTGTTGAATCAACTTAATTATAAAGATTTTGTTTTCATGATCCAAATGTATTAGAATACAATTTGGAAAATGGGAAGCTTAATTAACAGAGACTGATGGTAATTCAGCGGTTAGGATGTGCAGACTGTGTACGTAGTTATCTGGAATATAGTGGTAAATCTGAAATGATAATTTTTAACTCTAAGTGAAAGACAGCAAAGCATAATACAGGATGGACAAACATGTTACTTGGGGATGAAGAAGGTGGAACATAGTTTCTTTACTGGAGAATTACTCTAGCCAGTTCTTCCTAAAAGGTCTTTGTGAGCTATTCTGCTCACAGTCTTGGCTCTTCAGACCACCAAGAAAAGGACATAAAAATACGTAAAATCCCAAACATAACGAATCCTTATTTCAATAGTGATTTAATACAATTTCATCTAAAGCTGTCTCCTTGCTCCTTACCTGCTCTGACCTTGCATGGTCCAAAGCCCAAGGACATAAACTAGATGGAGTCAGCATTGCCCTTGTGCAGCTCTCTGGGTTGGAGGTACATAAATGGTTCCCTCCCACTGTTGGCCAAGATCAGCATGTGGAGAAATCTGTCATGGATGTTCAGGTACCCAGACTAACGTTCTTTGAAATACTGGCTTTCACTGAAGGAGCTGACTATGATTTCCTGACTACCCCGGGGCACAATTTAAAAGCCATCTTTTAGGTATGTTACACATAACCAGCAGTGTGTCTCCAAGCATCATCTGGTACTGATGTGGGACTTAATAATCCTCGATCGTGCTTTCTAGTCTTTCATCTGGCAAAATTCCCCTTGATTTTTGGATAGTAACCTGTTGGGTGTTTACTTGTTCCATTACAGGCTGCTCTCCAAAGGATTTCCTTGTTAATGTTCAGTGTATTTTTGTGCAGAGAAATTGAGCATTTTAATGCAGAACATGCAGAACTAAACTAGTAAGCAGAGCCATTACCCAGGAATTACCCATAAAAATAGGACAATGTCCTTATTGACCTTCTCCTCAATGTCTCCTTGTGTGCATTCCCAAAGGAGTTGTTGCTTCTGTTACTGGTTACTGAAGAGGCAGGATGAAAAACTACCTCTTTTGTAAAATGCCAAGTTGTTTCTCCCTCCCTACTATTTTGTTGCCATCCGGTGTCTGTCTTCTGTTTGCTTCATGTTTATTAGTACTAACTTTCTATCCATGTATTGTCATTCTTTCTAAATAGTTTCAAAATGAGAGATCCCACTAGGATAGAACTATAGAGTGAGTCATAAGATTCATGTTTCTGAGATTTTCTTAAACGGAGCACTAAACTCTTTACTTTTATTAAGTTTTCTTTTTCTCTTTGGTTTTATGCTAATAAGCTCTGTCTAGGACCTGAACTTCAGAAAATTGATGCCATGCCAAATCTTTGGAAACTTGTAAGATAATTGTACTGCTGTAGTGAAATGGATTTATTGTGTGGAGAACTTGGCCCTTTGCTATGTAGCAGCAGGCTGCGTTGATATAAATATACTGGAGGTTTCTGATAAATATGTCAGGCTAATGCTGAAAGATTTTTATTCCTAGCAAGTCAATTTTGTCTGGGGAGAGGAACCAGACAGGAGACTGTAGTACACTGTTGAACACTTCCCTCCCAGTGACCCCATGAACAGCTTCTGGGTTCTGCTGAGGAGTAGATGGAAAGCTGTCTGTTCACCAGGAACAGTTGGTAGGCTATCAGGCTGTAATATGTTTGATTAAAACCACAAAAGGGTAACAAGGTAGTTTAAACTCTGAAACCTAATGAATGGAAAGAAACCCATGCAGGTGACCTCTGACCCTAGTT